CCTAACTAAATGCCCAGACATCGTCGAAGCATCTGCACAAGAAGCCGACAGATATGTCAACCTTAGACCGAGCACTTCGGTCCAATCAATCGACGGGAAAATCAAAAAATCCAATTCAATAAGTTGTTCATTTGTCTCCCATTCACAAAAGAGAAGTAGTATCACAAAAGATTGAAAATAGGACGAAAGGAGGAATAAAGAGATGCTTCCCTGCAGCTAAGCTGGTGACATTTTACAGCAATACATGCTCCATAAGCCAACAATCGAAACTGGATAAGTACCCTGCTGATGCTACCTCAAATTGCATTTATAAATTTACGTGCACCCGCGGCAGTCATTACATTAGAATGAGAAAAAGAATAAGGTTTTCAGAGCACATTCCAAGAGACTTATGCCTGCAGGGAAGCAGATATTTACAAAGTTCAGTTACCAGACACCCACACTGTGAATACGGGTCATTTTGTCGAGATTTCCAAATCGTTCAAAATATTAAACATACAAAGGACAGCGAATCTACCTACGATTTACTGCTGAAGCAGTTGCAATCAAGCGTTTCAGACCAAACTTGTCCACATAGAAAGAGGATGTAGTCGATCTCTCGCTCCCTTGGTAACCGTATTACTTTCATTACACTGATTAGTTATACACACTAGTGATCTCAGCTAAGCTCACTGAGTAAGTTTTCAACTTGAGGAACTTTAACCTTCTTGAGTTGCCATGTTGACGTACAAGTTAACACTGTTTATTCAATTTTTCTCTTTTCACCCAACCCCCTTTCTTCTTTTTTCATAGTTTGCTGATGGTAACTTAAGCTGAAAATTTTAATGATTAAAATATTCGCGATGCGTTCATCTTATAATGTTTTCTTTATTACCTTTCAAAGGTTAAAGCATTAAAATGTATTATTTATAAGCATTGTAATTTCAGGCAGTGGTGTGCGCAGCTGATGAGAAGGATCTGTGAAACAGAATGATGATTTTCTACTGTAAATTTTGTCTTCCTTTTCTCTATCGAAATTCACCAAGGGAACTAAGTGTATGGAAGAAGTCAATGATTGTTTGAATTTTATTTTTTTAATACAGAAAAAGTCACCTCACTCACTGTTAGAGGAGTATCGTTTCAACTACCGACGGTACACATGAGTATGTTAAAATCAAGATTAAGAAAGCAAGTCAGAATTTTTATTTCCCTGAAATCTGTCACATTCATCATAAGGAACAAGAATGGGATTATGTAACTCTAATGTCAATTCAAAGACTTAATGAACACATCACGGGAAGCATTCCCAAGGGGCTACTGATGACGTTCATCAGTGACTGACTCCTTCACTCTATACTGAAGTTAAGATGACCAGAAAGGATTAGAAACAGAGAACTCTGGGAACTAATGAACCAATCAAGGACCTATTCTCAGATAAATAGGCGGAGGAGAATTTAGGTCCATTGAACACACGCTACACATAAGGCCATCCAGCTGAATTCGAATGAGAAACGACTAGTTGGAGGAGACTATATGTAGAGCCATGTAAAAATGACTTCAGAGGTGGCAGTAAAAGTGATGTTCTCCTGAAGCTCAATGTTCCGCCAAGAACTCAAGGGCATATTGACAGGATAGTAGCAATACCGGTAAGCAGCCTAGAAGAAATTGCCTCGATTTCTACTTTACTCAACGTTGTCCTTAAAAATTCATTCACAGTTTCAAGAATATTACAAAAGTAGAAAGATTTAAACACGATTTAGTAGCTGATTAGTAGCTGACAGAGAGGTCAAAAAGGTGAATTTTTTATGTTTCACTTAACGGTGACTGATAAAATCCAGGGACGCCATCAAAGGATTTGTTGATATGTCAACAGACAGTGAACATTTCAGCCCAATGGAATCATCTATAGAGGGAGATTTCAAAAATCTCAGCATATGGTTTTATATTGTTTCCATCACACTTAATATTCCTTCATACAGACTGGGATGAAAAGTTTTCAGAACTATCTATGCTTGGTTTCCGGATGGACTCTATTTCATTCTGATCTCTGAGAAAAAATTTTAATCGACTTCATGATTACCCGTAGGTTACCATCTTCTCACCATAAAATCTTTTCCAATTCACTCACGAATGACCAACGTAGCAGTAGCCATTCTGGTTTTTTTCACCTATCCGACGCGTGACTTTATTCATTGGTCTTCTAGGCTTATTCTGATGGAAGCCTTCAGTGGTCTGTTGTAAATGTTTTCCATGATGCGCCTTGCCTACTTTAGTACCCCGTCCCTAAGCCCCTGAATGCATGGAAACCTGGGTGTCCGGTGAGCAACTCTCTTTGGGAAATCAATCGATTTTACCTATTGTGCTTACCAATAATTGGCTATAAAGTGAATTTGTCCTTTGATTGAAAACAGATGGTGGTTTCTATGAGCTAGCGTTAATATAGGATTATTATTCTATTCGTTTTTGAAGCTATACAAGATTCCGTGGGAGCTTGGATTCAATAAAAAATTAGTCTTGAGCAGCACAGAAACGACAAACTAATTCCTTCAGGTAGTGACAAGGGTATCCGTGTTATACTCCGAAGGATAGTGTCTTTAAACACTTGTAATATGTCACAGAATACTTCTGTGAATTCTACGAAACCTTGAGGGTGAGCAATATTGAGGTTAGGCGTTGATCAAGTGCTAGTTAGGTGGGAGGGGAAATCAATCGACGAGACTGTGAAGCTACATCGACTGAGATGGTTAGGACATGTGGTACGCATGCCTAATCATCGCCTTTCTCGACAACAGGCAATGTTCGCTGACATAGAATGGATCAGGCTGGAATAGAGCCAGTGGTTGTCGAACTAAAACATGGCTTCATCCCTCAGTGAAATCCACAACAGTTAGCTTAAGCCATTCCGCCACGTAGGAAGGTGTAGACTTCCTGGTTGGGGCCCTCGGGACAGTAAAAACCAATGGTCAAAGACAATTGGTTCTCGATGGCTGGCGCAAATGTATCCACTCCTTCTGGCTTATAATACTCAATGAAATTATATTGTTTTTCGTTATTACTATTCCTTTTGTCTCATATCCCTGTTTACTGTCTCTATTTTGTATTTCTTCTACTTTCTTCTGTAGCTTTGTGTGCTACGTGGAGTGGAGTGTGGCGACTTGAACTGGTGCACATCGGTGCAAAGTTCTATGATGAAAACAGACAGACAGATAGACAAAATAATTGTTTTTCATTGAGAATGGAAATTTATGAAAACATTCGAAATGAATATAACTTAGGTGATATTATTAGTCTTTTTTAACATTTTAAGTGGGACGCAGGGCTTGAGAAAAACATTTCCAAGACTATCAACAAATATTTATTTGCTGCTCACAATGTGATCTCCACAATGTGATCATAAAAGCTGACTCAAATCTATTACTTCTGGTTCGATTTTCACTCAATATTCTGGTGTGTCGTGTCATTCAATGGTCTCCACAGTGTGTTTCAAATCCACCCCTGTTTGTTACTCTATATGTGTTGAGGTGTTGGCTAGTTCGTCGCACAGATGGAGTTTCTTCTGCCAACCCCCTTCTGGTAAACCATGTGATCCTCAATATCTTTCAGAAAGAGTGTCTGTCAATGAAATTGTGCATTAATAACCTGCTGGAAATGCTCTCGGTGAAGCACACTACAAGTCACTGAAATATGAAGAATTAGTGAAATGGTACAGGGGTGGAGAATTCATCAGTTAACAAAACACGTAGTTCAGCGAAGAGTCTCTTCTCCGTGGCGAAGTGATTTTCTTAGCTATACAATCGCAAATAAATATCTGGGTTCTTTTGTAGGCATGAGTACATTAAGTTTGTCAAACAAAAATACAGATGGTTTTGCTTATTTTAACTAAACACGTGAAGATTGATAATTGGAGTTAGGTAATATAAAATCGGTCAAAAAAATTGAGTGTAAATGAAACTATTGGAGTAACAGAGGTGATGAGTTGTCCCAAACAGTTGTTTCTTGATGTGAAACTGATGGGAGCCTAAGAAGATCGATCCATAGAAAAGTTACTTGGAATGGTCAACTAACAAGCTTCTCTGGCTGGGTACCCATTCAAGAAAAGCGGAATTTAATTAAATCACTTGACACACGCATCTGACGCATCTGTACTTCCGATGTTCTAGAAACAGAATTAGATATTTTGAGAGAAATCTTCATCCAAAATCGATACCCAATAAGATTCATTGACAAAAATGTTAAACCCTAGAATTAGGAGAAACGAAACGTTAATTGAGCCTAAGAAGAAACTCTACATGAACTTGGATTTCAAGGGAGATTTAGCAAGCGATATTCTCAAGAGAAGAATCACATCATCTCTGAAAAGAGCATTCTTTGCAGCAACGCTAAGAATAGTGTTCTCCAGTCGCCCACTGATCTACAGGAGTCTCAAGGACAAGATCACGCATCTGACCACTTTTATGTGCATATATCAGTTCACCTGCTACTTTGGAGTCAGGTACACAAGTTCGACGGGCATTCAGTTCAAGAGGATTCAAGGACACTATCCAGCTATGAGGAGTGTGAAAACTGAACACCAGGTTAACACCAATCATTCCATCTCAACAAACGTCTCTTGCTTCAAAGTAATCCACAGAGTCAAGAATAACCTACCAAAGGCAATGTGGTCTCGTCTTCTTCGTATCGCTGAAGCTCTGGCCATTCACATAGAGAAACTGGAACTGTGCATATAAAAGAGAATTACTCAACCATCACGCGTCAGGCAATCGCTTGAGTAGAACGCAAATGGGAAACGAAAAACTGGGCACCTGTCTGATAATGACATGGTGGAGATCATGTGAGGAAGGAATGAAATTTCTCAGGCAATCATGGATCCAAATAAAAAACAAGCTGTACTTCTAAAGCGCTACATTCCACTTGAAACCCAATAGGAATAATCATCAAAGTATTCATTCAATGGATTCAATATTTTGTTTTAAACAAGAAACATTAGTAATTAAAACAAAAAAATGAACAACTGAACTCACCTAGTCAATCCATGAATCACATGAAATAATGATAACGAATAAAATATTATTAGAAGAATATGCAGTGCGATATTTTTATCCATAGAAATTGAAATATTATATTTTCTTTTTGTTTAAATTAATAGGAGTAGAAGTGATTGTGTAAATTGATAGGTTTCTTTTTTGAAAAAACGAAAACACGTCAACAGTTAAATGTTCAATAGCGCATTGAATCAAAAAATATTAAATGTTTCATGTTTAACTTTTTTGGGGTTTGATTAACTTTTTTGTTTTTCTTTCCAATCTCTAGATGTTCAATGTTCAATTGATATTCAATGTTCTCATGAATTAGAAAAGATTGAAAATAAAAATTAAATAAAGATTAGGTAATGAAATAAAAAATATATTCGGTAAAAAAAAGAAGAGTTTACTGGTGGTGATGAAGAAATTGTATTTATAGTAAAAGTTCACCGGTAGGTAGATATACAGATAAACAGTGTTTGGCGGGCTTCTTTTATTTAAAAAAAACTCATCATTCAATTATTCACACACACACGCATACATACACAGAAAAACTCGATCGTAGGCGATTAGCAGATTGGTCACAAATGATTGGTTGGTTATTTAGAAGATTGTGTGTACACATGTGTTTGTGCTTGAGTGTATGCGTGTGATTGTACAGTGATGTGTGCCGCTGTGTATTGGTGATATATATATATATATATATATATATATATATATATATATATGATAATTCAGCTTATATGCCCTAGTAACATAAATGTACTTTGGATCAATTGCACGATTTACGACTTCAACAACGGTTCAAGGTGAAATTTCCCTGGATGCAAAGTTTCGAACACAATTCACTTATTGTTCATAATCATATCAACTGTAATCACACTTCGAAACTTCAGTTTTATAGTTTTCTTTGTTCTCTCCTATTTGTTGTCGTTCGAGTCGTAGAGTTTTCCAAATATCTGGGACAGGCGTTGAATCATTCCTGTTACACGTATTCTCTCTCAGTTGATTCGATAAACAAAGCGTATGTTATCAATCTCTCCCTCCGCACTGCTGCTGCATTACATTTTAAAACTGCCATCTTATCCCATCCCATTGTATGGTTGTGTGTAATCGCATGTAGTGAGTGCTATAGCTGAAGTATTCCTAAGATTTCTTATTTTATTCGGGTCAACTCATTTAGAGTTTGCCAGGTTATTGTGCTGCTCTAGTCTCACTGACTGACGCTGTTCCGCTACTTCGTCCCATGTGTTTGACATGACAATCATGCCAACCAGGTTTTAGATAAACTAAGTTGTTTTGTTTTAAAGGCTCCAAAGGATCCTTTAACAGATTTTGAAGGAATCGGATAAGATGACAGTTTCAAAATCTAATGTCACAGGATGGAAAGAGGGTGAGATTGACAACAGGAGCTTTGTTAATCGAATCAAGTGACAGGGAATGCGTGTAATAGGAATGATTCAACACCTGTCCGGTCGGATATCTGGAGAATTCTACCACCAGAACGATGACAAATAGGAGAGAACAAAGAAAACTATAAATGTCAAGTTTCAAAGTTGTGTGATTGTGCGTCGGTGGCACAGTGGTTAGGGCCCTCCAGGGTTCGAGCTCACGCCGACACACACCTGATATCTATGGTCGGCCTGCGAATTTTGGGCTACCGATATCCACGCTGAAAATTCCACACTTGAGCCAAAAATACGGTATGGAATCAAGCTGTTATCCAAAATAACAAAAAAATAACAAATAATTGATATGTTTATGAACCGCGATAAACTGTGTTCGAAACATCATCCAGTAAATAATACTGTTTCATTGTGTGATACATCTAATAAACAGACTAATACGGAAATCTCCTTACATTAGGTTGCAATAGAAACCAAAATTACACAGATCAGAAAACGATGATTTTGGGTGAAACTATGGGCACTGGGTTCGAGCCTCGGTGGGAACATCATCACTCACTGAGAAATGCAGGTACATCCAGCTGACGAGTCCCAAATATGACGAAATCTGCGTTATCCTGGATTCCACTGCTAGTCACCATCCACCAATTGTGAACAATTGCGGTTTCGATAAATTCGTCTCCAGGTTCTACAGTTATAAATCCATGAATATTAGAAGAATAAAAATAGCTATCAAAGACATGTGAAAATTATGTTGGAAACTGTATTGGAGAAATTGATATAAGTACAAATTTTGGGCACTGTGCTGATAGAGTATAACTCTACCATGGATAAGATTTTATTTTGATAAAATGTCACACAGTGTTCTACAGTAATATTGACTGATGACCACGTTTCGAGCACAACTCATTACTGCTCATAATCATGTCAAGTCACTCATACAAATTTCTTGCTTCATTTATATACATGAGTAAAAATTGATGATTAGACTTTTGAATAAAATCACTCAGGGACAAGCTCTGTAGGCTAAAAGACTCGGTGGACGATCCAATTAAACAAAATAATACAATTTACAAAATACCTTGCAATGACTATGAGTTATGTCAATTACTACATAGGTCAAACTAGTAGATCGGGAAATTCCATTATGGGTTTTTTTGTTTTGATAAAGTGTCACAGTGTTATACAGTAATGTTTTTGATGTGGTTTTGTTCTCCGAGCTGGATGGTTAGTTTGCGAAGCTTTCATCACCTTACTGGGTGACATCTTCAGCGCATACTTCAATTTGAAGTGAGCTTTTAGATTTCTCCACGAGTTTATTAATCATCTCTCCTGGTGACCTTGGACGTGATTGGTTGTTTGTGTGTGTTTTCACACCTTCTAGGTTACTTGTATTGGAACCGGTTGTTTCTTTGACTTGAACTTTGACCCTTTGTGTGTGAAGTTTCTTTCTTATTGGTTGATAAATTTTGTCTATCTCGATGTGTCTATTGATTGATGATCCACTGGAATGCCAAGCTTCTAAAAATTCTCTAGCATTCTTGTTATTTCCTTTGTCTAATATTTGAACGTTGTCCCAGTCGAATTGATGTCCGTAGTTGTCTGTGTGTAGTGAAATGAGGGAGTGGATATCATGTCTTTTGACGGCTAGCTTATGTTCGTGGATACGAAGACGAAGGGGACGTCCACTTTGGCCGATGTAGTGTTTTTCGCAGTTGTTACAGTTTATTTTGTAGATGATGTTGGTTTTGTCTTCTTTCGCTGTTGAGTCTTTTGGTTGACATAGAATTGAGTGCAGCGACTTTGTTGGTTTGTGTACGACGTCAATTCCTAAAGGTTTGAAGAGTCTTGTAGTGATTTCTGAGATATCTTTTATATATGGTAAGGCAATTTTCTTTGTGCTTTCCTTGGTGGCTTTTGCTTTGGTAGGTTGGCTTGGGGGTATATGTCTCTTGATGAAATTCCGTGGATATCCATTCTTTTGGAAGACGTCCATGAGATACTTTTCTTCAATTTTTCTTAAGGTGGGAGTGCTGCAGTGAGTCCTTGCTCTCTTGAATAGTGTTTGTATGCAATTCCTTTTGTGTGTTATTGGGTTGTTGCTGTTGTAATTCAGTATTTGGTCTGTGTGAGTTGATTTCCTATAAACTTGAGTTTCTAATTCTCCTGTAGTTGTTCGCCTGACTAAGACGTCCAAAAATGGTATTTTGTTCTCGGATTCCTCTTCTCTTGTGAATTTGATGTCGTTGAAGACGTTGTTTATTAAGTTGTGAGTTTTATCTAATTCGTTTCTTTTGATGATTACAAATGTGTCGTCGACGTAGCGTATCCAAATCTTGGGTTTGATCTTTGGTAGAATTATATTTTCGAGTCTTTGCATCACTGCTTCTGCAATCAAACCTGATATTGGCGATCCCATGGGTGTTCCTTTGACTTGTTCATATATTTGGCCGTTGAATTGGAAGTATGTTGTTAGGCATAGATTTATGCATTCCATCCAGCTTGTGTGTTGCATTTTTGATTGTTGTGGCAGTTGTTCGTCGTTGCTAAGTAATTGCTCCATGGTTTCTTTTGCTAGGTTTTGTCCGATGGATTCAAGTCAAAGAAATAACCGGTTCCAATACAAGTAACCTAGAAGGTGTGAAAACACACACAAACAACCAATCACGTCCAAGGTCACCAGGAGAGATGATTAATAAACTCGTGGAGAAATCTAAAAGCTCACTTCAAATTGAAGTATGCGCTGAAGATGTCACCCAGTAAGGTGATGAAAGCTTCGCAAACTAACCATCCAGCTCGGAGAACAAAATCATCCACCTGACCTACAAATCTTCTCCATCATACAGTAATGTTTACTGATGACAACGTTTCAAACACAATTTATTGCTCATAATCATATCAGGGTAATCACACGACTTCCTAAATTCATTTATATAGTTCCATTGTTTTTCTCTTGATTTTCACTTGATTTGATTGGTAATAGTATTTTCCATATTTCAGGTATGAGTGACGAGTCATTCCTATTGCATGTGTTGGGTGTAGACTCGATGAACAAGGATTCAGTAATCAACCTCTCTCTCCATGTATCTAGATTACTTTTTAGAATTTCAACCCTCTCCCACCCTATTGTGTGTTTGTGTGTTAATGCATGCATTGCAATTGCTGAGCTTTTTTCTAAATTACTTATCTTCGTGGGGTCAACCATTCTTACCTTAGCTAAATTCTTATGCTCTGACAATCTGACTACTCCTGACCTCTACACCAAACACATGCAATAGGAATGATTCACCACTTATACCCTAAATATGGAAAATATTACTACCAATCAAATCAAGTGAAAAATAATGGAACTATATAAATGAAGTTAGGAAGTCGCATGAGTACCTTGATATGATTATGAGCAATACATTGTGTTTGAAACGTTGTCATCAGTAAACATTACTGTATAATTCTGTGAGACTTTGTCGAAACAAAAATTTACCCATAATGAAATGGGCTGCAGATATGCCTTGGTGATTGGTGAGTGCCAACTCCATCCAATACCATGATTCAAACAAATTCACAAAATTTCATGCTGGATCGGCCGTGGCCCGGATTAACAACGACCGCGCTTCCTGCTGCCGTGTCACAGGGCAGGAGTGATAAGTATGCTAATGAGACACGCCAAACAACAAAGA